AATAAGTTAGTGCCTCAATGGACTTTGCCTGGTAGGATGGGAATGGTTTAGTTTCCTTTGTATGCGTTAGGGTGAGTTGTTTACCTTTCTTGTACTTTGCACTACTATCGTATTTGTGTATTATTTGTTGTAATGTTCTTACCGGCCCCTACTGGACATCTGTGAAAAAGAGCTTTATAGCTCATCGGATTCCTCCAGCATTAATACATATTCAGATTCCGATTCATCGGGTCGCGAGGTGGACGAATCACAAGCAGTCTTGTATATAGGTAAAGGAGGAACTCTGCAATTGCTCACTCACGCCACTGGTGGCAGAAGTGCCTCCACTCGAGGAATGCTTTAAGATGTACGTAAAAATACATGTGCAAACCTGGCAGAAGCCCAAGATAAACTCTCTGGGGGTGTTGTTGGCCTACTTTTTCATGGTGGCCAGTAGCCTTGGAAGAAATGGGAGTACCCACACTTTACCCCACAAAACTTGACCTGCCAATTCCACTATGGTGGACCTATTTATACTTCTGCCTGCCACGCCAGGAGATTGAATCGAACCACCAACCTCTGAATTGCAAGTCCAGTGTCCTGACCATCACTGCCACGGTAGCGGCCCATGCCTCGTTTGTAAAGGATCTATTTCACAGTATGAATTCTCACTCTTTTTTTAATGCACTTCACTTGTCCAAGTAATGAGATGCAGACAGACGCCTGCTTGAGACTGCCACGATAAGTGGCAGGAAGCTTTCCCCAGCTGTGTGTGGCATTTCACCAGCTCAGACTCAATCAGTATTTTAAAAACATTCTGTCAGGCAGAGCAAAGACAGATCGCGTGCGCTTGGCACGTGCCTGTTTACCTTCAGCACAGTGGCAGCCACAGGCTAGACTTTCCTCAAATTATCCCTTTAGTGTTGGAAAGTCAGCATTTTTTTTTAAATGATATACTATTTTTCGTGCTGTTTTCCCGATTTTGACTTCTCATACTCTTTGGGTCTTCCCTTTACCGAAAGACCCAAAAAGTATGAATTCCTGCAGTCACGAAAGCTTTAAGTCAAGATTTAAATTCTCATTTGCGATCCCCTGCATCACACTAGAAGAGGAAATGTTTATTGGAATTATAGCAAAGCAGTGCATCAGGCTGAGTTAGTGAATGGCCGGTTGAAGGTAATATCACAGAACTACTGCAAAAAATTCCCTTCAAGTATGTATGATGTTGAACTTCTTTCACACCATACGTAGCCAAACATGCTAATCGGAGGTGCGAGTGACCTTTTATCCACGCGAGTGAGCACTTCCCACACAACCTGCTGCAATAATTATTGCATGACGGTTAAACCAACGTTAAAAAAAATTGCTGTAAATGAGATAAATTAAGTGGAAAAAAAACTAATTTGATGGTTCTCTTCTTCTGCAGTCACGGGTGATCGAGCTGAGACCATCACCTTCATTTGTTGTTGTTGTACTGGCTGCCCGCCCCGACTGGACGTCTGTGAAAAAGAGCTTCACAGCTCATCATATTCCTCCTGCAATATAAACATTCCAATTCACTACACTTGAGAACCCCGATTTTAAAAACTATAAAACTATTGAGATACTAAACTATTTTTTATTTTACCAGGTAAGGCCATACTGAGCTATATAGTTATTTTTCAGACGCGACCTGGCCACAAATGATAGCTCAACGAAGTGGCTTATCATCATGTGAAAACTTATTTAAACCAAACACTTTAAACGCATGTTGATTCAAAATGGAGGGGAAAACCGGAGGACTCGGAGAAAAATCCACACAACCACGGGGAGAGAGACATGCAGACTCCAAATATACAGCAGGCGTCAGGGTAGGGATCGAACCCGTGGGCTCCTGTATACCTGGTGAGGTAGTTAACATCTCACCACCGTGGCGTCTCATGGTGCAGTCTCATCGCGTAGTCCGAGAGAGGGGGGGGGGGCGGGTTGGGGGGACTGAACGCCCCGCTGCTGAAGGCTCAGCCTCCCTTCTCAAATGTTCTAACAAATGCAGTATATCCATAATAGTATATGTTGATGGGGGGGGGGGGGTGTAGTCCTTCACAGGGGGTGTGGGCTAGAGCAGAACCCACAAATGCCAGAAGCTGATCAGAATCAGAAAGCGTTTTATTCGCCATGTAAGTTCACACCGACACGGAATTTACTTTGGCAGGATGGTGCATACATTCAACATATAGGAATCTAAAATCTTAAATAAGTTTTAAACAAGTCTTACTATAATAAGGGTTAAAAGTCTAACACCAAGGGACTGAAGTATATAAAATTAAATAAATATCGAATATCAAATAGCTTTAAGATATAATTTAAAAATTAAAAATACAAATAGGGTAACATAGTTAATATCAGCAAGGTGTCGTTATGTAGATCAAATGTTAAAAACAGTGTTAGCCCTTGGCCTTGTTTAACAGGCCAGCAGCAGATGGGAAGAAACTGTTTTTATGGCGTGAGGTTTTGGTCCTGATGGACCGAAGCCTTCTGCCGGAGGGGAGTAGCTGAAACAGAGAGTGTCCAGGGTGGGAGAAATCGGCCACAATCTTCCTCGCTCGCCTCATAGACCTTGTCGTGTGCAGGTCCTCGAGGGTCGGTAGATTGCAGCGTGACTCAATTTAGCATTTAACGTTTCCATAAAGTTCGCTTTACATTGACTGTATGGTGCCCCCCTGAGTTTTGTATGCACCCCCAACCCCAAAAAAGCAAGATCACGCTGCAAGGTTGGTCACCGGTGGTAGAAATGCAGATTCCAACCCAGGATATAAGTGTGGTGCATACTTAGGGTACTAAACTGCTGAGCTACCCAGCCACATTGTTGGTTAAGAATGTCCACGTTATTTTTTGACAGTGAAGCTTTGAGATACGGTGCAGATGCAAAGGTTACAGCTGCAGCATTTGTTGTCTCTTGAGAGTTGTTTAAACTTGTTGTTGCCATGTGACGAAACATCATGGAAAAGATTGTGAAATTTACTCAACATCTCACGACTTAAATTATGATTTAAAGCTTTCGTGACTGCAGGGATTCATATTCTTGGTTCTTTCGGTAAAGTCACGTAGAAGGGAAACAATAAAAGATTAAAAATATAAAACAATAAAATTATCACGACGTTTCGACTGCAACACAAGCAATCATCATCAGGTGTGAAAACCACAGCAAGAAAATTTGACGACTTCTCTGCGAGGGTCCTGCTTAGGAATTTCTGCCAATGACCTTTTAAGAGCTATTTATTTACATAACTTGTCAAATACTACAATAGTCAAGAATGAAAGTAGAACAAGATCACTGCAGGCTTTCTCAAGACAGTTTTTTTCTGCATATGGATGGAAACCAGACGGCCTGAATACCCCGGGTTGTTTTGCAGAGTCATGTGGTGCGATTAACTATCCATTCTGAATTCTTGCAGAGCAGTGCATTACCTTATTGTGTGAGAGAATAACCCACAGGAGAAAACAACCATTTTAAGATCCCTTTTCCCGACAAACCCTGTTACCAATATGATACGTATTTAGTTTATTTTTCGAATTGGAATGTATCTGAATGAGTTGAAAAAACACATTTTACATCCCGGGTTTTGGGTGCAGTTTTTGGTGGCCAAGACCACCAACTCGCTGCACTTTAGAACCCAGTTAAACCACAGGCAGCTGAAACCCGAATTCACATCCCAGCGTCTCAGCAGTGTGAACTCAGCCATGTGACCCATGAGCCACTCGGCCACCTATAAGCCTGCCAAAATAAAACCGACGTATTTAACAAAACAGTTGCCAGGTGGCGGTTGCAGTGGTTAACGCACCGTGCTATGGACCTGACGACCCGAGTTTGATTTCCAACCATGGCTGACATCAGTGGTGAGAAGTGAACCGGCCCTGGGTACCGCTTTCGCCAGCTTGAATTGACCAGCATGCTGAAATATGGCCAAAAAACCCCCACGACTCTTAAGGGACAGAGTATACCTTCGTCCAGCAGTGAATTGGGGCACCATAGTGACGAGATGTTAACTCCCTCGCCTGATACAGAGGAGTTCGTGGGTTTGATCCCAACCCCGACGCCTGCTGTATATTTGGAGCTTGCATGTCTCTCTCCCCGTGGTGGCGTGGATTTTTATCCGGGTCCTCCGGTTTTTCCACATTTAGAAACACGTGCTGAGATTATTTGGCTGTTATAATTTTCCACATCATGTGGGCAGGTCGCTTCTGAAAAAGAGCTAAATAGCTCAATGGGCTCTATCTCGAAAAAAATATATAGTTTTAGTTTAGATTAAAGGGGCTGTAAATCTAAAATCACGCTTGCACTCTGCGATAAGACCTAATGCTACATAAAGCATTGAGACAAACTGGGACACTCTTTATAAACAGACAAGGCAAAGAGATGAATAAAAGGCATCGTGAATACTGATTTTCAAGAATAGAGTCGCGTAAATCTTAAAGCAGTTCCTCCAATAAACATTCCATAAAAAAAAACGTTACCACGGCATCCCTGTGAACAAGCTGCACGTTGATGCTTAGACCACCATTCACGTTCCGAATGCCAATGTTGTGCACCAATTTGCTACAATCAGCGGAAACAATACAAGGCTACGAGAAACCATCACATATAACAACAAAAATCATTAATTACTTAAAGTCTGCACAGCAGAGCGATCAATTGCTCGCACACTTGAAAGAAAATAAGAGGTCTAAAAGTGATTAAAAGTAGGACAAGCAAGGTAAGGTTTATGATCCCAAACATGATTATTATTCCACAGATTAGGGGCCACCACACTGCCCCACATATACATTTGAAGGCAGTGGGCGTGTGGGTATCTGCAATTCACCATCTCTCAAAGCAATTGAATGGCTAAACCATTTCCAACTGAATCTCCAACTGTTGCTCTTTACTGATCATACGACATCATCATGTTTGTTGAAAAGCACGTATAATATTTTTTTAAACACACGTTTAATCTCGACGGTGTCATGAACACCACGTCTCCGCGCCGTGTCTTTCTCCGCAGCAGTGCTGCCGCTACTGCTGCTATGCACAGTGGTGCGGCGGGGGCTGGCGGAGCCCGATGCCAAGGTGGTGTCGGTGACAGTGACGGCTGGTGGGGAGGTGCCACTGCCATGCGGAGGACTCGGCACCCTGTCTCCCGGGGCGCTCGTCACTTGGGAGTGGAGGCCGCGAGCCCCCTGGTGAGGTTCGCAGCACGAGCAGACAGACTCGCGCATGCAGTCTGCTGTTCCGCGCCCGTTGAGGCTTGTCCACACCCAGAGACAGTCGGCCGCGTGACTAAATCGCTATCGATACCGTGCGCTACAATGGCCTAAGACTGCTTTGTCCGCAACCGAGTGAGTTGTGCAGTAACATGTGTGCGTCTGGGCATTGCCTAAATTATCTGGCCAAGCAGCAGTGCCCCACCCCTTTACTCCACCTGTCCCAATGCATTTTTGTATTTTAACGGGAAATCAAATATATAGCAACGCACCACTGTGGGGTATCTTTAATTTTCCATTGATGAAAGATGTGCGCACGGAGCACCCAATGCATTGCGTGGCTCAAGGCCGTCGAGCAGATGGACGCTTGAAAGCGGAGTCTGTCCTGACTGCGAGCAGCCAGGTTTATTTTGCTTAACCCGGGGGTGGATACCTCAAGGGGGGCCAGGATAAAGTCTTATTTGCAAATATAACCTGAGTAGGGGGTCACCAAAATGTCAAAAGCAAAACAAATAAAATAAAGTTGTGCAACTGATCGCTCAGATGTGGACCCACCATCAGGACCGTATGTTGTGCACGTGCCGTAGAGCCCTCCATGATCCCAGAGTGGAGAATTGAATGTGGATAACGCTAAGGTGTGTGTGCTCAGGTATAGGACCCAGCAGTGGTGGAAATTCTACATTCATATGACGGAGGCGAGCCTCTCCATAAGACAACCGCTTTTGACTTCCCCGCAGAGTGGCACTAATTTTATCGACGCCAAAAAAATTGATGATGGGCTGAGTCGACCCCCAATCAGAATTTGAACTCGTACACCTTTTTTTTTTAAATTCGCGAGCCGCTCATGCTATCAATGGAGACACCTGGCCGGTTATCCGAATCATAAACTCAATCAACTCAAATAGCCGGCCACTGGTGGCTGTGCACGCCTAAAACCCAGCACCGTGAAGGCGATGGTTGGTGGATCAAATACGTCTGTGAAATTCCCTCCCTGTGGGTTGTTGAGATCGCCATCTCCTGGCTTGCTAGCATATGGCAGTGTAGCCAGTGGATTTGGCCAAAGATTCCGATTATTGGACCACAGAACTTGGGAAATTGTTTCCTCCAGTTCTGGTTGCCTTCCTGCTTGTCTGTGGCTTCCCACGCCTCTGAATCACTCTCTCTTTCAATGAGGGTGAACGAAAACTGTGCGCGTTACAAATTTCCAATTATTTAGTTATTTCATCGTTACAGCCGCACAATGAAACCTGCTCTAAATTTCCACCAGGGTGGCGAGATGTTAACTACTTCGCCTGGTATTCAGGAGATCATGGGTTTGATCTCAACCCATACGCCTGTATATTTGGAGTTTGCATGTTCTCCCTGTGGTGGTGTAGATTTTTCTCCGGGTCCTTTTGGTTTTTCTCTCTGCGTTTAGAATCAACATGCATTTAGAGTGCTTGGTTGCTATACATTTCCACGTGATGAGCCACTTTGTTGAGCTGTCATTTGTGGTCTGGTCGCTTCTGACAAAGATCTATATAGATCACTGGACCTTATCTGGTAAAATAAAAAAAAGTTTAGTTTTTAAATACTTTTAAACCAGGTTCCCAAGTGTCGTGAGTTCAGAATCAGAATATGTATTTATACTGGAGGAATCCAAGAGCTAATGGACATTCACAAATGTCCATTAGAGGCAGGTCAGCAAGTTATAACAATAAATGAAGTTGATGGTCTCAGCCCGGTCACCTGTGACTGCAGAAGAAGATAACCATCACATATGTATTTTTTCGCTTAATTTGGCTTCTACGTGGTAAAAAACAAAGAGTTCAAGAGTTAAATTTGTGCTATTTTTCTCAGGTGCGTGGGGACAGACGGAGGCCGCCTGCTGGAGATATCGAACAAGGATGGGCGCAAGGTCGTCTCCGACCAGTTCCGGGGACGTGTGCTCGTGCACCCCCAGCTCATCAAGCGGGGCGACTACACCGTGCGGCTGCGTGAGGTGCGCCCCGGCGACGCAGGGGACTACACCTGCCTGAACCAGGCCACCGGACTCCACCGCGCCATCCGGCTCTTCGTCAATGCAGGTGCCAGACTGTGACCGTCCAGACGCGCGCGGAGTAGAAACCTCCCTCGAAAAGTGCCGCGTCAAGCGGATGACAGTGCCCCCCGTAAATGGCGATGATAAAGTCTGGTGAGATACCCTGCAAGCGCAGGCCCGGCGAGATGGCAGGACTAATACTGAGGGTATGCCAGCCGCGTCACTGTCTAATTATGCGTACTGTTTCGCTGTACTGCTCAGCCGCGCAGCTCAAGAAAGAAGTTCGTCGTTGACCGTTCAGAAACCGCGTTAAAACAGTGCACGTTTCATGTTGTAACAGAGTCCATTCCGTGTTGTGCGAAAAGTGTTCCCGTTTGGAAGAACCGCGTTCTCGCGAAAACGCGTCGTGGCATGAACACCATGCGTCAAGCGAGGACTCGGCATAGGTCTGTCCCTCCGCTCTAGCTGTCATTGTGCAAACTTTTCAGATGTACCATGAAATGCCTCTCGCACGTGACTCCAGTTATTCACAGCCCTCCATCGATCCACACAAAAATCTTGATAGGAATGGACCGGCATGGCTTCCCAATCCTGTTCACCCCATAGCACTCACTCTCGAGCTCACTTGATCTTCGCGACACACAGAGCCAAAAAAAATCCCATCTGCAGGCCTGCGTGGTGGGTAGGTGGGGTGGACGGAGGTGGTGGCTGATGGCTGTCTGCCATCCTGAGCTGTGACCAATGGAGAGGGGAAGGTGGGAGGTGGGGCGATGAGTGCTGGTGATTTTTCCTCCTCCTATAATTTCTAAGATACCACGGCACACCTGGGACTTGGCTGTGTCACACTCGTGTGCCAGTTGCTAAGTACAGCTCTAGATTATAATTGTTTTGGAAATACAGCATCTATGCTGCTGGCTCATTGCTCTGACCCGTGAGCTACCCAACCATCTGCTTCTTTTTGATTTAAAGCTTTCGTGACTGCAGGGATTCATATTCTTGGTTCTTTCGGTAAAGTCACGTAGAAGGGAGACAATAAAATAATAAAAATATAAAACAATATTGTTTTAAAAATATCAATATTGTTTTAAAAATATAAAACAATATTGTTTTATATTCTTATTATTTTATTGTTTCCCTTCTACATGACTTTACCGAAAGAACCAATAATATACATCTGCTTCTTCTTTGTAGTTTTTACCTTCCTGGCTTAATTAGCAGCTTCCAGTTGTGGAAAATTCCGACAAATTGAATCTACGGTCATAAAGTGGATCAAGCGTGACATCAGAGCTGAAAATCCTATATTGGCTTAGGCAGCGGTGGAGTACCTATGGCCCCCACAGGCATTACTTATTTTCATATAACCACACGAAAGCACGTGATGCAGTGACCGTCTTTGTTCGACGGATCGCCGCTGCAAGAATGACCATAGTTCGCGTGAAGGTTTACGCTCTTTGACGACATCAGCAAGGTATCGCAGTTCATTTGTCGCGAGCACTTTGTGTGTGCACTGAGTGGATTTTTGTTGCGTAGGCTGCACCTCCAACCTGTTACTGGAGGCCAACCCGTGGGAGGGGGTGGCTGAAGGGGACCCAGTGACCCTCGCCTGCTCCTACTGCGGCTCCAAGCCCGTCGAGCCACGCGTGCGCTGGCTCGCCGGGGGTGTACCCGTTAAGAGCGGTTTGGACATTCACATCTCGGCGGACGGGAAGACACTGAACATCCGCGCCGCCACACTCGCCCACCGCGCTCGCTGGGCCTGCGTCATTGGCAAGAAGGAGAGCGCCGTCGCAGAGTTCTGCCTGGACGTGGGTGAGACGCAGCGAGAACCTCCGTTGGTTTTGTCATCGCGGTCCGTTCACGTGAATGTGGAAACACCCACGCAAGTGCGCTTAATACTCTACTTGTTTACCCGGGAGGGACTCGCCGAGTCTCAAGGCCTCTCTGTCAGGAGGGTCCTGCTAAGTTTTCGCATTTAGGGTTATCCCAATTCAGTAATTTGCAGTTAATATTTTAGCATTGCAATGTTATGGCCAATACCATCTACATTGTACATTTTTTTAGCTATGGAGGAAACCGGAGAATATGTAGGAAAGCCATGGAAAACAGGAGGAGAACAAACAAACCTCACACGTCGAGGAGCCTGAGTCGGGGATCACACCCAGGAACTTCTTGTTGTGAGGCACGAACGTTCCCGTGGCTCCCACCACCCTGTCTCCCAATTATGTAGCAAAACATGAGGGTAATGCAGATCCGTGCAACAATTACTGTTTAATGCGTGCACATGTTTCTCCCAACGGATAAACAGCGCTGGGAAAATTGGTTTGACCTTTGGCCAACCTTTTGTGTAAAGCCGAAGTAATTTCATCACTGAAATGTAAGATTCAACATTTTTATTCGCCCTGTATTAGACACTAAATATGCATCATGGTGAGGCAATGTATTAAGGTGGTGCAGTGGTGTAGTTGTTAGCTCACTGCACTCTGAACCCGTCGACCTAAATTCAATTCCTGGCCACAGAGGCGAGTGATATCTGCACCGGAGCTGTGCACACTCCTATACCAACCCACACTGACCAGCATAGTGAAGTATGGTCAAACAATCTGCATGGTCGATGTGGCATGGGGAAACCTTCATCCCGCATTGGATAAACTATCATTCATGCATATACACTTCTCTTTTACTGATGTGCCCGTGTGTTTGCCTTGAACGTTTGATCTCAGACCCACTCTAGCTGAAGGGTTTCGTGAAATCGAATTTGCTTTGTCCACTCCGCACCATCCGCCCCTTCTTGTCGTTCATTCGGCTCAGACTTCGTACATGGCACGAGGAATTTCATTCAGAATACAGTACTGTGCGATATTTTATAACAACGTGACATGAATTTTCAGCCTTCATACCCCTCTGCCCAGTTGAATGCCGAGCTCCCTGATGACCCTGCCACCCCTCTGCACAGTTGAATACGGAACGACTCCCACTCACCGAGACTCCGAGGAGGGTGCTGAAGACGACGACGACGATGATGACGACGATGATGATGATGATGATGAGGAAGGAGAAGACGATCCGGATGATCGCGAAGGGGACAAAGACAAGCGCGACAATGAACATCGTGTGGAGAGAGAGCCAACGCAGCGACTAGACATTGCACCAAATGCTGTGAGCGAGCACAAGGAGAGGTAACGTGCACTGTGAACGTAGCTGCACACGTAGCTACGCACTGCACAGGACTATGGTTTAGAGTCTCGCACCTCGCATTAACACTGCAAGACTTAAAATCGTAGGTAGCTTAGGGACCTGTTTAATCTCCGATAGCAGGTAACATTCCAGGAGACATCCTACTGCCATCCCAGGTTTTTGTTTCTCAATGACGTATTGCTTTTAACATGGTCATCTCAGAGGAAGGTCCTTGGGCCAATGTACGACAAAAAGTCAACGAGATGTTCTGTTCACAAGGGCATTGAGGTCACACTCATCTCCTGTTAACAGCCCTGCAGAGCCAGTGGTGATGTCCACATTATCATAGCATACGGAGTATGGGGAGTGAGTCTATTCATAGCGCAACCATTGTTTAATTCTCTACAAGGTGGTCCTTATTATATCGATCCCCAAAAGCATGATTGGCTGAGTCAACCCCCGACCAGCATGAGCTCCCAACCACGGAGCCATCTGGGTGGCTACAGGACCACAACACAGCTTATTGAATCTAAATAAATGTTTAAACATTTTCGGTAAAAAAATACTTTTTTTAATGCACGCACTTTTATTTGCACTCAAAGTAGAAAATGCATTCTATTGACCCCAGCATTGATCAAATTTGATGTGCTGAATAAAACTGGGTGGCCTGCATAAAGCAAATCAAACATATCAAAAGGAAACCATTCAGCACATCAAATTTGATTATTTCTGGAGTCAAAATAATTAATTTTCTACTTCTGAGTGCAAATAAAAGTATGTGTATTGAAAACCTTGTTTTCTGCCAAAAATGTTTACCATGATAACTATTTTACCTTTTATACTATTTTATTTTACCAGGTAAGCCCCACTAGCGCTGTATAGCTCTTTTTCAGAAGCGACCTGGCCACAAATGATAGTCCAATTAAGTGGCTTATCATGTGGACATTTATAGCAGCGAAATACTCAAAACATGTGCTTCTAAATGTGAAAGGAAAAATCGGAGGACCCGGAGAAAAATCCATGCAACCACGGGGAGAGAGACACGCAAACTCCAAATATACTGGCGTCAGGATCAGGATCGAACCAACCACCTCCTGTATACCAGGCGAGTTAGTTAACATGTCGCCAGACAAATCTGGCTGTCCTAGTTGTAATTACTGGCAAAACGTCGTACTCATATTGTTAATGTTGTGGCTTGGCTCTCCAACACACCGGTGTGCTGTACGAGTGTCAAATTGACATCTTCTGTTTACGTGACAACCCTTACTAGTTGGCTGTGTCGGGTGGTGGTGGGTTTTAACGGCGCATTTATATATTGACGCGATCTAACCCAAAAAAACCTCTATTATGGATATTGGTCACGAAAGCCTACGTGTTAAACTGTTAAGAACAGCGTCACTATAACCCTCAATATCTATGAACAAATCACACGGACTTGGAATGCACCCAATGTGGTTGGACCTCGAAAGCCAAGCAGATCTGAGCTAGGACAGTGCCTGGATGGGTGCCCACCATGCACAAACATGTTGTCATAGGGCTGCGGGGCCATGTTGTGTTTATATCCAATTGTATTGTACTATACGTCTATGCTGCCCGCCTTTACCAAACCCCACTGACCAGCCGGGGTGAAGTATGGCCAAACGGCCTCCAACAACCAGCACGGCGTGAGGTAGCCCTCATCCAGCAGTGGATTTACAAAAGGTCTCGATCCTCCTTTGGGCATTATAGCTATTTAACACATAGGCTTTCGCGACCAATATTATTCATAATATAATTTTTTGGGTTAGATCGCGTTATTTATAAATGTGTCGTAACCCTCCACCACCCGACATGGCCAAACAGTAAAAAATGTTTCACGTTTACAACACCGGTGTGTTGAAGAGTGAATCCACAACATTTACAATTTTTTAGTACGACGTTTCGCTGGTAATTACATCCAGCACCATCGGGCAATTTGCCAGAATGGTGAAGCCCTCCCCTTGCTCCCGGTCTTAAATAGAGCAGCTGGGTGACATCATCATTTAACCCAATCTGGTCCAGTGATTTGAGGCGGAGATGGTGAGGGTATTGTAATTATATAATAGGTTGGTAATCATTCAATTGTTATTCATTAGTATTTGTTCCCCCTATAAAGAATTGTAATATTTTTTTATTATTATAACACAAGATCCAGGTCCGATTCATCACATTACATAAAATCCGTGATCTGGTTCTGTCTGTAAAAGATGTGATTCCGGACATACAGTCCCTGTCATCTACAAACTAAGTTTCCTCTGTGGTAGTAGTTACATTGGAGAAACCAAACGAAATGTCTCAGACCGCATTCGTGAACACAAAGCAGACCTGAAACGCGGTAGGAGCAACACCTCGGCCGTGGCAGATCACTGCTATAATTCAGTAGGCTCACATGACATTGACTTCCCCAAGACAGAGGTTCTTTGCAATCCATCTGGCTACCATGAGAGATTCGTTCATGAGGCTATCCACATATACAAGCACAGAGACAATTTCAACCGAGAAGATGGATTGGCTTAGCAATCATTGGAAGGATTTGATAAACCATTTCGGGTCTTATTTGATTGATCACGCTTAAGGTGGCTTTCAGACCGCATCCATTATTTTTCGTCTCCCCCTCCTCTTTTCCGAACATAGGTGGACTCGTCCATCTGAACAAACTGTCAAATCGCTCTCCGTGGTGCTAACGTTAAAAATAACCGCCATTTTTTTCAAATTTTCTTGCTGTGGTTTTCACACCTGATGATGATTGCTTGTGTCGCAGTCGAAACGTCGTGAGAATTTTATTGTTTTATATTTTTATTTTTTTATTGTTTCCCTTCTACGTGACTTTACTGAAAGAACCAAGAATATAGCTATGTCATTATTTTAGCAACTCGCTTTTTTGCCCAAGGACGGGTGTATATTGCAGTAAATCTGAAATATTCAATAGAAAATGTTAATATTTTTGTATTTATTTAATTTTAGTATTTATTTTAATTTTATTTTCTATCTACGCGACTTTACCGAATGAACCAAGAATATGAATTCCTGCAGTCACGAAAGTTTTAAGTCAAAATAGAAAAAATGTTCAGCTCATGATTATTAATGAGGGGGGGGGCTTGCCCCATATGGAGTGACGTCACCCGTTCATGGTTATTGTGGAGGGGTGGGGCATGTGGAATGACATCACCCGCTCATGATTATTAATGAGGGGAGGGGTGTGGCATGTGGAGTGCGCGACCATCTTGTGCGTTCGTGTAAATTTCCACGCGGGCATGAATATTAATGAAGGGGGGGAGCTCTTTTGCAGTGATGTCACGCACGGATGTAGCACTGTGCTGCGTAGATTTATTGTTTACCGTCACTTTCTGTAAATGTAGTGAATGGGAATGTCACTGTGTGGTGCAGGGCCTGCGAGGCCACAGCGGGATGTCTACTGTTGTGTGTACACCCCTTGGGTGAGCGCTGGTTAAGCACAGTGGCATCACGCACAGCGTGCGGTGCTGGCTCCCGTTGATAGAGCAAGGGAGTGTCAGCCAGCTAGGGTTATGTTGGGGGCATGATATTCTGGCTGACCTGAGGACACGTGACCGGATAGTACTGAAGGGGGGGGCACCGGTGGAGGGGGCCAATGGGTGGTCACGTGGTCCAGGAAGAATTCTCGAGAGCCTTCGGGCAAGGGCGAGAGAGATCGAGAAGGTGGGCGGGGCAAGAGGCGGAGCCAGCCCCCGCCCGGCCCGTTATAAGGGGGGGGGCCTGTGAGGGGCTCGGGGTTCTTACTGTTGGAGAGGCAGGAGATCCACGTCAAGCTTGAAGAAGCCTCCAGCCACGCGGTCCGGAACCCAGCTTGTGGTCCAGACCAGGATAGCGGAACCGTGTCTAGTTCCGCCGTAGCATGTTTAGTTGGGTTGTCACCACCCGAGAGTGTGTTGTGTTATAGCCTGGAGAATGTTGTGCAAATAGTTTAATAAAACGTGTTGCTCCCTAAGACAATGTCTGCGACTCAGCTGGACTCACTACATAAAGAAAAGTCTGCGTAGAATTATTTATTTGATCAACTTCCAATAAATATATAAACGTGAAATTTAAAGCGTCAAAACATTTCTTGCTTATTATAGTCATGACTTGGGGGGGGGGGCTCTTTAGCAGTGACGTCACATACGGATGTAGCACTGAGCTGCGTAGATTTTCTTTTTTTAACCGTCACTTTCTGTAAAGAAACGTCATATTTGAAGCAACTTTGCAAAAAATATATCTTTCTGCTCAACCTTCTTCCGTGTGAGTGTAAAAATCCACTCGCACATGATTATTTTACAAGCTCTTGTTAGCAGCTTTATCTCCTAAATCAGCAGTTGTCCTGCTGTATCGGTTCCACCTGATGACGGTTGCGTATGTTGCAATCGAAACGTCGTGATTTATTTTATTTTATTTCTACCTACGTGACTTTACCGAAAGAACCAAAGAGTATGATTATTTTATTATTAATGACGGGGGGCGGTACGGCATGTGCAGTCACGTCACGCGCGTTACACACATTTCTGGGCTATTATAGTAGTAATGGTACTAATTATTGTAATTGTTGGTCCCGCGCTCAGGAAGATGGAACCAGAGCAACCGTTCCGGTGCCATGACGAGTAGACTGATGTAGATAGTCCTTGCCACTGGTGATAGCCATGGTCGGCAATCGAATTTGGGTTGCAGGGTTCATAGCACGGTGTGCTAACCACTGCGTCACTACCTTCCCGGTAAAACCGTACACATGGTAAAACTACGGTTATGGCCTTACATAAATATTATTTGGGTCTTTTGATAAAGTCACGTAAATAGGTTCAAATTAATACGTGACTTTACCGAAAGACCCAAAGAACATGAATTCCTGCAGTCACGAAAGCTTTACGTCAAGATTACATAAATACCCCACAATAAGTTGATTAAAATAACCTTCTTGAACTTCCTTCCTGTCTGTTCTCTGCCAACTGGGATCCCGAACCGGCTCTAACTCCACATTCTTGGACATGTTCTCGGCCAGTTACCGAGATGGGCATTGGAATTGTTTTCACGAGTCCTTCGAACAAGGGAAAAGCCTAAGGATAGATGGTGAGAGACTGCGTCACCAGATCTTCGAGGTCGCATGTATATTGTGCAGCAGCTGCAAGTTCTGGCAGGTGGAGAGCGATGAGTCGTGATCGTAGTGGCATCAGCGGTTCTCGCATTGATGGCATCTTGATATTTTTATATAGTAATTTAAAATATATGTTTATTTTCCATCAGATTTTCAACAGCAGCCTCTGTGACACAAGCCTTGGACAACGTGGGAAATTCAGCAGCGGTCAGTTTGTCGAGCCACGACCCCAAAAGTCTCGTCACAAGCCAACCCGAGGTGTCACGTGGTGGCCACAAAGGCCCCTTGTCGACACCGCCACCGCCACATGCACCCCAAAACGAACCGCCTCACCACCCTCTCACACGAACGGAACGACCACAACCGGAGGAGACGCAGGTGTCGATTAACAGCCGGTTTTCGAACGCGGAGAGGAGCCCACAGAGCGCCGAGTCCTGGCAGGGCCCTGTCTTCTTTGCCTGCGTTGGTGCCGGAGCGGTGGCCATTGTGGCGGCCATCGTGGTGGTCACGGTGCTGCTGTGGCGATGGGGGGCGTGTGGAGGTGAGAAGGCAATGGCTGGTTTAACGACATTTATATTCATACCATCTAACCAAAAAATCCTGTATTATGGATATTGGTCGTGTAAGCCTACGTGTAAAACTGCCAATGCCTCGGTTTGTCGCCCACACTTCGAGTTTGTCTCATTGCGATGTAATACCTCGAGTCGCCTTATATATATTTTTCGCACGTCATGATACTATGATACAATGTTAAATTTCACGACATGACAATAATCGCGATATGTTTCCCATGACTTTGTTAATACATTCTGTGTTTATGTTATCTTGTTTTTGTGCTTTGACGTACTTTAGTGTGAATAAATATTCTCTAGAAGTGAATCAACTGCGATTCACTCAACATAAGCCTGCCATAAATATTGTAATTCGCGTGTTGTCAGGTACACAATAAGTACTCAACAATTTTTTATTTTACCAGGTGAGGCCCACTGAGCAGCATAGTTCTTTTCAGAAGCGACCTGGCCACAAATGATGGCCCAATGAAGTGGATTATCATGTGGAAATGTATAGCAGCCAAATACTCTAAATGCACCCTGATTCTAAATGTGGAGGGGAAAACCAGAGGACCCGGAGAAAAATTCACGTTACCACTGGGAGAGAGACACGCAAACTCCAAATATAAAATAGGCGTCAGGGTCGGGATCGATCCCACAATCTCCTTTATACTTGAAAAAGTCACTATTTCAGTTACTACAGAAAACGTTTTGCAACGGCACTAGTTTCAATTAGTAATAACCCAGTGAACACAGATCGTTGTTTGTCCAACCTTTCAAATCCACATGTCATTCTTGACCGAACGTTGGCTTGCTTACTGTGTGATTATTTTTAAACATCATATGCTATCTCATACTTCGTCAAGAAATTAAATATATTTAAAATGAATTAAATAAGTAACGAAGGTCAAGTTGTGATGCTATTTAGTAAAATGGATGGTCTAATCATTGTGGTGATGTTATTTCGTACGATATATTGCAATACAGTATCGAGATGTCACGGCAACCCTACTACCTGCCACGCAATGAAGAGGCAGGACAGGCATCGTAATGTTTTCCACAGATTATATAATTTTCTGCGAAACAACAAATATCACTTGAAAACCAAGAATGTAACGTATTTTTTTACTTTACAGGAAAGAAAGAAAGCAGGCAAGTTGCCAAGTAAGTTACGTGACGTAAAGTTGCATGTTATTTGTTATTTACGGAACTGTAAAACGTGAATATGGCGAGCCCTTTTGTTGATCCACTGCTGGATGAGGGCTTGCCCATGCCATACAGGTCGTGGGGTGGGGGTGGGTTCATCCATACTTCACCGCGCTGGCCAGTGTGTGAAGGTGGCGAGCGTAGACATGGGAGCACAGACGAACAATACAACTTATTTGTCTGCACTGCCCTCTGCTTCCCAACGGTAGAACTCTCATCCACACAAGGGAAGAGAGGACAGTGCCGTGGACGTGTGTGGTTACAGCACTTCGATTAGTCATGATCTATTCACTGCTGTTTCTCGCACCTCCGATGACCATGGTTCACTACGTACGGTGCGAAAGAAGTTCCACATACACTGAAAAATGTCTGGCTTCTTTCCCCAGAAGTGGAGAGGAGAGAACAAACCATGGTGCCGATGGTGCGACAACGGAAATCCCCATTGGTGCTGAGTGGCGCTGTACACTACAGACAAACACACGATGGGATTGTTAATGATACAGTCACTACTTATGTGAAGAGTGGGATCATTAAGGCTAAAAACTCTTTGCTATACTCAAACAGTACATGGGGCGGTGATTTACTTGGTTGTGCGTTCGACACTTGTTTTGCGACCTTAGGTGGTGTCAATTTCTGCTGTGATCCGTGGACGATAAATATCGTAGTGGTTTCATACTTGGATCACCAATTATTGCAACAAAAAATCACCAAATTTAATGTGACTTTTTTATTTATTGGAAAAATTCCAGAGATTACATTATTTTTACTTTGATTTCCATGGTGTATGGAGCATTCTGGTTATCTATGTATGTTGAAGTTCTTTCACACCGTACATAGCCAACCTTGCTAATCTGGGGTGTGCGGGAAGGACAACAAACTAAATATATAAAGCAGTTCTAAACAAATGAGTTTTCAAATTAGTTAATAAAATAAATAAATTGGTTCACCAATGGGCAATCATGCGGCAGAAGTTTAGGGTTTGAATCTGGCAGCCCGCCCTGGTTAACCCTGGTTAATACTACGGGTGTATTAACCATATATGGATTAGAGCCGAGCTGTCACCCTGGTTAATACTGTGGGTGTATTAATCATCAAAAAGAGTAGGCCATTGTGTGTCAGCGTCACGATTGTGGCTGAAACGTCGTGATTTTTGTTATTTTATTTTTTACCTACGTGACTTTACCGAATAGAACCAAAGAGTAACGATTTCAATTTGCCAAATTCAAACAATTACCTGCAAGTTACTAAATTGGGATTACACATTCCAATCTTCGCCCCCTACTGGCAGTATAATGCCCGCTTGGATTGGGTGGCTTTGTGCCACGCAGAGAGAGTTGAGGCTGCCCCCGCGCATCCTGACTCCAAACGGCAGGAAACCCACCGCATTTTCGGACCTGTGTGCTTGGAATTGGAGTGGAAGAACCGTTAAGTAATATTCACTCACTGGACATACAGCAAAGCACAAGAACATTACAATAAGTGTAAACCACACAAAGTCATGGAGAACTGATATAATAATCGTCACATCTTCGCATCGTATCATATCGTAAACAATTATATCGCGGCAACCATTTTGTGAACTACTGGCAACTTTTAGCCTGTGGCTACAGCATGGGACGGGGAGTACAGTCAAGGATGTGATGTGTGGGGAAATAACAAATATAGATGATGGGAAGAGGCGGCTACATCAGGGCTTTGACGCTGCTGCTGCTGCACGGAGCAGAGTCTGTTCTCACAGCGGGGAGAGTGGGGGTGGCCTCAGTGTTACATTTGGGGTTTTGTTCATCTTGGTTCATTTTAACGAGGGTTACAGTGACCCCATTGGAGAATGTTTTTTAGTTAATTCCTGGTAATACTTGGAAATGTATCAAACATGTGCTGTCGTGGCCTTCCTTCACACTGGTTTCAGGGAAATTTGCAAGTGATCAAGGTCTTTGGAAATGTTTCTGCCTTCCCTTCTCTCTCTCTGTCTGTCTCTCCAGATGAGGCCGTCAAGGAGGGCCCCAGGGAGGAGACCGAGGCAGCTGTGGTGAGTGTACCCATGCTGTAATTTTAAAAACATTTGTCGTAATGAAAAACCATAAATTCAGGCATAGCCTGGATATGTATTCGGGGAATGCACTGGATGCATGTGGCCTAATTCAGGAGGTCTTATGTATATACACATTTTATAATAGCAATATTCATCATCAGCTGTGGTGCTATGTGTGGTATTTTGTGGTGTGTGGGGGGAGTGGGGGTTTAGCGGTTCGTGTGCCATGCTACGAACCCGGCAACCCGAGTTTGATTCCTGCGCACGACCAACACCAGTGACAATTATCTGAATCAGTTTTGGGCCTCCCTTAGGATGACTCGGCCTCAAATAAATACCTAGTCGAGTGTGTAAACGTCACCACTCGGCCAGGCGTGGTACTGGCCACCCACCCCTCATGTGGCATGCCGGCCTTCAAAGGTGCTCACTAACAGCACTTGCCCTAAGTCTGTTAAGGATATCCGGGGGATCTTTGTCTTTGTGTGCATGTGTGTGTGACGAATGTGCGTTGGAATGTGGCAGGCTGTCTGTCCCGAAGGGCAGGATGCTCCAGAAATCCCGAGCCCCCCTGCACCCGAAACAAGCGCAGAGGCCTGATTGGGGAGTGATCATCAAGCTGTCACACGAGGCGCGTAAAAACGAGCACCGCATTTAAAGTGGGTGGGGAATTGAATTAATCCAGGGGCCCAAAACTCCAGAGGGACCCACAAGAAAAAAACATAATTTAGTTTTTTATGAAAAAAAGTTAGAACTGTTTATTCATATCGTAATTTTCAAAAATAAACTTGCTGAATGTTTCAATTGCCATGCAGAAAGATCAAACCAGCGACTTCTGGATTGCAAATTCAGTCTGCTATTACACGATGGCAGCTTCTCATTTTCATTGGAATATTGACAAAACAACAATATTGCCTTTATTAATTGCTGGTTTATTGCGTTTGTGCCTTTGTATATCTGAAACGGTCCTGGGATTCTCCTCAGTCTACACAGCCTCAAATGAGTACCTGGTGCAGTGTGAAAACATCGGGCAGATTGTGTTGGCTACGTGTGGTGCCGCCACCCAACGCCCACGGGCATATGAAGCACTTGTCCAAACAGTGTTCAGGCTATACAGGGGAACTTTGTCTTTGTTTGTAAAAAGGTGGGGGGCTCTGTGGAAGGTGTGGCATTCCTATGCCTGTGATCTGCCCTCTGCCTATCTAGTGCCGGTATAAAGTCATACGAGCTTCTTTTTAACTTCGTGAACGAGTACAATGCGTGCTAATTGTATGCTCTGCGGTCAAAAGAATGTACTAAATTGATTAAAGACATGCCCCAGTATGAGACAATTTGCCTGAGCTCAATTGTTTTTAAACGACATGTGAACTCCGTTTATTCAAGTCTCTATCACCTGTGACTCCGAATGACCTTAAGGGTCAGTGCAAAAGTTATATTATCCCTGCCCCTATTCTTCCTATTATCTGCAATTATCGATGGGGTTTTTTTTTTCCCGTCCTACGTTTAATGAGTTGGCCAGGTGGCTCAGCGGTAGCACGGTCGGCAGGTTGTGAGTAGAAATCTGTCTCACGCATCCCCACTGTCTACCACCACCTCTGCTGCCTCTGTCTATCACCTTCCCAGAGGACTTTGCCACTGCGCGTACCTGTGCAGTTTAAGCATACGATACATTCCATAAGGAGTATTCTGCATGCTTCTTGGGAGCTGGGGGAATGGGAACCATGGGGTGGCCTTATGATGCTTCTCAATGGGTTTGGTGGGTGGGTCAGTGTTTTCAAGCGTGAGCTTGAATTGTTAGTGGGTTCATCCATAGTTACAGGTGTGGAATGTGGATCCAGATTTGTCGAAGCGTTTCTGTTCGACTGGTCCATGATGAGTTTCATGAAGACATCCACGCAAAAAGTGACACGGTGGTGAGATGTTACCTCAGCAGGTATGCTGGAGGTCGTGGGTTCGATCCCCACCCTGACACCTGTATATGGTTGTGTGGATGTTTATCCGAGTCCTCCGGTTTTCCCCTCCACATTTAGAAACGTGCGTTTAGAGTATTTGGATGCTATACATTTCTACATGGTAATCCACTTCGTTGAGCTATCATTTTTGGCCAGGTTGCTTCTGCAAAATAACTTCAGTGGGCGTTACCAGTGAAGCTAGTTGTAATTACTGGCGAAACGTCATACTCTAGATTGTAAATGTTGTGGCTTGGCTCTCCAACACACCGGTGTGCTGTACTCGTGACGAATTGGCATGTTCTGTTTACGTGGCAGCCCTTACTAGTTGGCTGTGTCGGGTGGTGGCGGGTTTTAACGACACATTTCTATATTTACGCGATCTCACCCAAAAAACCTCTATTATGGGTAATAATTCCCGTTTAGTTTGAAGGCTTCAGGAAGCCCACACGGTGAGATTTGCCCCAGGCCCCACAACCTCTATAGATGGCTGACTGGGAATCAAACTCAGGTCGCCGGATTTATAGTTCAGTGCACCAAATAAACATTCTACCACCATTGATTACATCGTTTTGTGTCGAGCTGCCGTGACGTCACCTGTAAAGCTGAGCACGAATGGGAACTGAGCTGTGACTTCACATACGACTTGATGCATGTGTAATGACATGATGACACCTGCTGGCTGGAAAAGGAAGCACGGGTACGGGCACCGCTAAAGACAACATCTAATCTGAAAGGGAGAGGTATCTGGGGCAAAAGGTAATGGGCGGGGTTGGCCGAGACACTCCGGGAACCTGCTCGAAGGTTCCACGATAGGGCGTGGCCAGAGGAGGAGCTTAGCCACGCCTGGGAGGATATAAGTAGGGCCGGACCGGAGCTCAGGGTTCATGTGTGGAGTCTTGGGCCCGCACTGCGTCACTGCTCGCCGTCATCTCTCTCCGTCGTCTGGCCACGTGGAAGATCTCCTGCGGGTTTCCACCAGCCTCCTTGGCACGCCGCCAGTCAGCGGCGTAGCCGAGTGTGGACGGTGGAACCGCGCCGAGTAATCGGCCGTGTGTGTGTAGCCAGTAGAGACGCTAACATCCAAGTGTTGTACTCAGAGTGAGAAGATAAGGTTGGCCTGTGTTGTGCCCGTATATGAATAAAAGTAGTACCCTCTACACGACATGTCGTGGAAGTCACTCATTAAACATGGAAGGAGACTGAGAGAAGCGATAAATTATTTGCTAAATTAATGAATGAACATGAGTAAATGGATGAAGTGCCGAATTAATTAATACATCCTTTAATTAACCTATGAATTGAAGAATGAACAGATGAAAGACGGAATGAAGTGAGTTACTCAATGAATGCTGGTGACGCGCTGCCTGTTGCGCTGTCGATATCTGCTGGGAGTGCAGACTGCGTGAGTCTCGGGTTCAATACGAGACTGGAGACCATGGCGCATCATCATCAATACATCGATTACTAGCATTTCTTGAGGCGGCCCCATACCTAAGCGATTAGCGTAACTTGTCTTCTTTGGTTCTTTCGGTAAAGTCACGTAGAATGAGAATAAAATAATAAATTGATAAAATAAAATAACACAATAATAAAATAACACAATAATATCAATTTATTATTTTATTCTCATTCTACGTGACTTTACCGAAAGAACCAAAGAAGATGAATCATTGCAGTCACGAAAGCTTTAAATCGAAATTTAGCGTAACTTGGTTGCATGCAACTGAATAGCTCCATAATAGAGGGTTTTTTTGGGTTAGATCACGTAAATATATAAATGTGAGAATAGGTTTTCCCCTTTTTTCTGGCAACAAAACAGGTGTTAAGATTTGAAGTTTTTGTGACTGCAGGGATCCATACTCTTTGGTTCTTTCAGTAAAGTCACGTAGGTATAAAATAAAATAAATCAAATCACGTTTTTGATGAAACAATTGCTGAAGTGGGCAAAAGGGCTGCTGATCCGTGTAGCAGTGCCCCAATCCCCCTAGCCCACACCCCCCTCTCTATCTCTCCTCCCCCCTCTCTTACCTATATAGCCTCTTGTCACAGCAGCCCTTTTGCCCACTTCAGCAATTGTTTCTTGCTGTGGTTGTCCCACCTGATGACGGACGCTTGTGTTGCACCCGAAACGTCGTGATTTAATTTATTTTATTTTATACCTATGTGACTTTACCGAAAGAACCAAAGAGTAAGGTGTTAAGATGTTAAAACACCAAACTTAAACCTTTTACAAGGAATCATGTCTGCATTAACCACAATACTTGTGGTCAGAATGCAAAACAATAATATATGCATTGTCTTTTAAACTGATTGGTCCACACCAGAGAGAGCTTTCTTTGAGCCTAGTCTCAAAACGGTGTTAGACCAGAGGACGCCAAAATGCGAACACAGCACAAAGACAATGCCACTATCAGAGGAATGAGAGCTTGGGGTGAGCAGCTACATCATGGGACCTCCTCGTAGCTAGTTTGGCACAGACCTTCGACATTATCAAAATCAATTGAGTGTCATTGTTGGCATGTGTGTATTTAATATTTATCTGATGTTCTTTTAGTCTCGTGCTGATCACTCGTCCTGTTTGCCCAACATAACATTTGCCATAAGTGCAGTTAATCCTGTACACACCTTCTGTTGATAGCTTCGGTAATACATCTTTGTACCAGAAGTAGAGTTACAAGAAACATAAGTACGTTTTTATTACAACTTAAAAATATATAAACATATATAAATATACATGTCCATCCAACCACATCTCAATGTCTATGTCTGGGAGAACGCGCTAGTTTCTCCCTCTGCGGATTATCCACCAATTTTCTTTCTTCTTGATTCTCAGCTCCTGGTCTTGGCGCTCCTTCCCTCTGTCTCCTCCTCGTTCATCCTCCTCTTCCTCATCTTTCTCCAGCTGTCGTGTGCAGCACAGGAAGCTCCAAATTTCCCAACGCCAGAAACTGTTCTTTCTCTCTCCCTTAGAAGATGGGATGTGCTTAATCTCTTTCTTCTCTTCCTGAACACTCTCTGCCCTCCAAGGTTGCTCACATCTCCCTTCCTCATTCACCACTTCCTGCTTTGTATCGTCTTCAATCGTGTCGACCTCCTTCAGCTCTACCTCATTTGCCTCTAACTCAATAGCTCCTACTTCTTTTGCCTCTACATCTATTGCCTCTACATCATTCGGCTCTACCAAAATCGCCTCACTCTCCTCTACCTCAATAGCCCCTCCCTCCACTTCTACAACAATCACCTCTACGTCATTCGTCTCTAACTCTTTCGCCTCTACCTCCATAACCACCTCCTGCTTGGCCGCTTCCTCAATCTCCTCTACCTCTTTTGTCACTTTCTGGTTGGCATCTACCTCCATTGCCTCAACTTCATTCGCCTTGAGCTCAATCACTGCTACCTCCACTTCTACATCAATCACCTCTACCTCATTCGCCTCTAACTCATTCGGCTCCACCTCCGTAACCACCTCCTGCTTGGCCTCTCCCTTAAACTCCTCTACCTCTTTTGCCACTTCCTGGAAGGCATCTACTACATATGCCTCACCCTCCTTTGCCCCTTCCTGCTTTATCTCCTCTACCACGTTCTCAATTTTTTTGGCCATTTCCTGTTTGGCCTTTACCTCATTCGTATCTACCTCATTGATCAAGACCTGTATGGCCTTTTCTTCAATCGTGTCTACCTGAATTGCCTCTACCTGTTTCACCAATTCCTGCTTTGTATCTCTCTCAATCCCTTCTATGACATTGGCCACTACCTCTTTCACTACTTCCTGCTTGGCCACTGCATCTACCTCAATCACCGCTACCTCTACCTCACTCGCCACTTCCTTCTTGGGCTCTCCATCATTCCCCTCTCCCTCAATCTTGTTTTCCTTCATCTCTTCTACTTCCCGAACTTTCATCTCAGTCCTTCGTAGCTTCCTATTCCTACGTTTTCTCTGAGCACCATCCCCTCCCTCTTTCTTTGTCTCCACAACATTCTCAACTTTCTTAGCCACTTCCTGTTTAGCCATTCCCTCATTCCCATCTACCTCACTTGCCTCTACCTCTTTCCCTAAGTCCTCCTTGGCATCTCTCTCAATCGCTTCTCCGACATTGGCCACTACCTCTTTCACAAATGCCTGCTTGGCCACTGCATCTACCTCAATCACCACTACCTCTACCTCACTCGCCATTTCCTTCTTGGGCTCTCCATCATTCTCCTCTCCCTCACATTCGTTTTCCTTCATCGCTTCTACTTCCCCAACTTTCATCTCAGTCCTTCGTAGCTTCCTATTCCTACGTTTTCTCTGAGCACCATCCTCAACCTCTTTCTTTGTTTCCACAAAATTCTCAACTTTCTTAGCCACTTCCTGTTTGGCCATTCCCTCATTCC